GTCCGTCACTCCATGTCTCTGTTCCTTTAACTTTTTTCTTTAAGGTAGATACTTGAAATTTTAATAAAAAGATACTTTTTTATAAAAAGTTGCATGTGCGCTATTATGGCCACTTTTTCCGTCCGCCCGACCCTCCGTTCGTCCAAAGTCTTAACTACTCCTACAACTTTCAGGATATTTAGTTCGTTCTTTTTGCATTCGGTAGGTAATAGCTAGGGCACCTTAACAAGAAAAATCTTGACGATTAGTGTACCGAGATTTGTCAACGGTTTGCGTGAAACAGCCTGTATGTCCCATTCCAAACAATTTCTGAACTCTAGTAGTTGAAAGCCGCAAATAAAGTAATTTTTTAAGTCTCCTTCCCGTCTAATAGTGGAAAAACCAATTTGCCACTATTTCCAACTTGGATAACGGGAAAGCAAGTAAAATCTGTAATCTTTACAAAAAATTCGTTAAGCCGCATGTGAGCAAAGAGGCGGAGAGTGCACTTTCAAATTTGTTTTTTCAATTTTAATAGCCCTTATGGACATTTCCTTAACGAGAATACAAACATGAAACAATTTGTAATTTCTGATCAAATGACACCAATACCAAGTATGTAAGTGGTACCTAGTTCCGGAGCCTTTGTGACTCACAGACAGAAAAACAGACATCAAGAGCGCAAAAGTGCAATTTTTATTTTGTGAAAGTGAAGGTGCACTGAAAATGATAGGGCGTATTTTCCACAGTTTGTGATACTAGCATTTCAGTCACAAATAACTGTAAAGATGGAGAGACGGGGGGAAGGTGATGTTTTGTCGTGCCTATTTGTCGAAAATTTCCGATGAATACCACTTTTCACTAAAAAGTAGTAGAGAAACGGACGGGCAAAGTGTGTGTCAAAATAAAAAAAAATTGAAAAGCCTTATAATTAAACAATACATTTGCGTTAACTGTACTTAAGACGCTTAATCAACACATGTTTTCTAAATTTGGGAATAAGTCGCTTTTCAGTGCCGATTAGAAACGGATTGGTACCGTGAGACTGGCCTCTAATACAGAACTGCGGTAAGGTGATATTCCACTGCCTCTACCTGTGTACGATTCTCGATCGTCATTAGGTCGCTATAGTTCGA